ATCCTGTCTGCTGAAAGTGGCCAATACCAGATATCCCCGAGAGAGAGAACACAACAGGTAATCCTCACATGATCCATCCCTCCCACAATGACTCCAAGAGCTCTCTCTTGAGCAGTTGTTGCTAAATTAGTCCCCATATATTGTATCAAAATGCAGGACAATGTAGCACTTTAAAGACTAACAAGATGGTTTATTAGATGATGAGCTTTCGTGGGCCAGACCCACTTCCTCAGATCAGATAGTGGAAGAAAATAGTCACAACCATATATACCAAAGGATACAATTTTTTAAAAAAAGTGAACACATATGTACACAATTTTTTTTAAATTGTATCCTTTGGTATATATGGTTGTGACTATTTTCTTCCACTATCTGATCTGAGGAAGTGGGTCTGGCTCACGAAAGCCCACCATCCAATAAACCATCCTGTCAGTCTCCAAAAGTGCTACATAGTCCTGCATGTAGCTGAGGCAGAATGCAGGACTATGTAGCACTTTGGAGACTGACAGGATGGTTTATTGGATGGTGGGCTTTCGTGAGCCAGACCCACTTCCTCAGTTTGGATAGTGAAGGAGAGTAGTCACAGCCATATATATATCAAAGGATAAAATTTAAAAAAATTGTGTTCATATGTGTTCACTTTTTTTTTAATTGTATCCTTTGGTATATATGGTTGTGACTATTTTCTTCCACTATCTGATCTGAGGAAGTGGGTCTGGCCCACGAAAGCTCATCATCTAATAAACCATCTTGTTAGTCTTTAAAGTGCTACATTGTCCTGCATTTTGCTTCAGCTACCCCAGACTAACACGCCTACATTTCTATCATATATTGTATGTAAGCAGAGGAGACTGACAGGACAATGAGTTTGGGAATACTCTGTGTTCCTTCTTACATGCGTGCCTGCGCAGGTGTCCACCAAGAATTTGAGGCCTACCCACCTCCTAAGCAGTGCCACATAGTGGCTGCTCAGCTGCTTTGACGGGTCTGCATTGTGGACTGCCACCCCATCAAAGAACTAACAGGGCAGCTACCATATTGCCTGGGCCTTAGCTTCAGCCCTTCCCCAGGCTGGATTTGAGGGTTGGATCATGAGCAGCTGCTCCTCCGGCGGCTCTAGATCTGGAGCCACATCTCGGGAAGCCCCAGCCAGGGCCAGAGTTGGAGCTGTGTCATGGGCGACTGCTCCTCCGACTGCCCCGGCTGGGGCGAGAGCTGGAGCCACTTGTCAACAGCAACTCCTCCAGCCCTGGTGAGCAGCCGTTGGCCAGCAGGAAAGCCCCCACTGCCCCAGGCTGCTCCCAGGAAGCAACTGCCCACCATGCCACATGGCCCCTGTTGCTTCAGGTTGGCCACGGGGAGCAGGTGATGGACAGCCTGCGTGGCCCCACCTGCTCTGAGCTGGCCCTGGACCAGAGCAATGCTAGGTAAATCTTCTAGTTAATAAATACATTCATTCATCAGTATGGATTGCATGAATTAGGGCTTAGCTCCGTTTTGAAATAGCCACAGTTCAGCAGTTGTTGGATGTCAGTTGATGCATCATACAGGAATTTATTCTAATTAAGATGACACTTGGCCTTTTTTCCATTGGGATAATTCCAGATTAGCTCCCCCAGTGAAAATCTCAATTTCCAATAGTCTACACTTGGGAGAAAGCACAGATGCAGGTAATGTATAAGTTCACTTTTCCTCAGTGTTACCTCAGGGTATGTCGATACAGTAGTGTTATTTCAGAATAACAAAATGCATGTCTACACAGCAAGCCATTATTTCAAAATAATGTCAAGGTGGGGGACTTCTTACTCCAATTCCTGTAACCCTCATTTCATAAAGAGTAAGGGAAGTCAAAGGAAGAGTGTTCTACCTTCGACTTCTTGCTGTGTAGACAGCTCCAAAAGCCGAATTAAGCAATGCTACACAATTGACGTAGCTGAAGTTACATATCTTAATTCAACTTTTGCCCTGCTGTTTCAGTGTGCCCTCAGTGAGCTGAGAATTTGGATGACCACCCAGGAGAGAGTCAAATGCCACCCAGCTAATTAGCACAGCTCCCAAAGCCAGCAGCATGTGTTTCTACTGATGGTGCACATCTGCACACACCTCAGTGCACATAACAAAATTTATTCTGAATAAATAAATGGATGGAAAAAGTTAGAGGGAACATTGCCTGCCACTATTGATTAGTGGTGTTGTGTAGCAGCACAGCACAGGTTGTTAAAAAAAACAGTTCATTGTTCGCAGGGGTGTGTGTGTGTGTGTGTGTGTCAGGGGTGTGTGTGTGTGTGTGTGTGTGTGTGTCAGGGTGATGTTTTTTATCTTATCTGTAACTGATGGCGTGACACAGTACATTAGAACTTAGGGTCAACCATAATAATAAGGATGTTTGGGTGAAAGTTCTGATTTAATAGCTTTTTTTATTCTTTGTGAGTGGGAAAGGGCTGTATTGTTTCTTCCATAACTTTTAATATATGAATATGATATTTGTCAGTAACTTGTGGGTGCAATGGTGGCACACATCCAAACAAGAGCACATGACCTCAATATTGGTGCACAAGACAAAACTCACTTTGCTCATGGATGGAAAATCTTAGGAGGAACATGGATTGAGGCAAGGAAATCCTACATGAGAGTTTACAGAGAAGGTGAAGGAGATAAGTACACTTAAGATTAGTACAGTCTCTCTATATAGGTCTGCATTTTTACCTTGCTCAAAAGCCACTGCAGTTGAACTGTAATGGTACTAAGAGCACAGATTGATGGATAGGAAAAACAGCATTAATAATTTTCTGTTTTTCTATTAAATACATGGCACTTAAATACATGATGTGAATGTGGCATGGTCTGGTGGTTTTACTGACACACATTTGGGATGATGTATATAACTTGTAAATATTGGTGCTACATGGGAATAATTTGATTAGTCATCACAAGCTCATACTACTTAATATCTTTGTTCCACACGTTGTCTTCATGTGCGGTGTGTGCACTGTGTATGTGTGCACTGGGCAAATTGTGATTGAAATCATTTTAGTGCCTCTTGAATGCATCTCACAGGGGACAGGCCTGGCTTCCTGTACCTCATTCTGGGTGGAACCACATGGCTTAACCATTTTTAGATTGGACTCTGGGCTGTAGTTCCCTGTTCCCAACAATGTTAATGACTCAGGTCCAACTTGGTTGTCACACCTGTAATAGTTTGCCTTTGAGAGTCTGTGATACAGGTTATACCTCCAGAAACTGGTTCTCTCTGCTCTGGCAACATCCATCATCTGGCAGGACCACAGATGCTCTGGACCACAGAGCTGGGAGCCTAAGGACAGAAGGGTGAGCCAGCCGGGGCAACAGGGTTGGCAGACCAGCTGGTGGCAGCCCAAGACCGGGGTCAAAGCCCTGCAGCAGCCTCCAGCAGCCTGTGGCAGTGCAGGGCCATGCAGGAGTCCTCTGGCAGCACAGATTGTGCTGGGCTGGAGCCTTGCTACAGCCCTGGAGTCCCAAGGCAGCCCGCAGGAGCTTGGGGTTACAGCAGCATAGGACCAGAGTCCTCCAGCAACTTTCTGGAGCACAAGGCTGGAGCTGGAGCCCTGCAGTAGTTCCTTGAGTGCAGGGCTGGGTCACCGTAGCAGCCCCTGGGAGCATGAGGCTGGATCCCCAGAGCAGCCTGTTGGATCACAGGGCCGGGGCTGGAGCTTTCACTTCCCAGGGAGCTGGCAGAAGCTGGGCAAGAAGCCCAGTCAGTTTGGGGGCTGCGGAGAGGCAAAGTAGGGCACCCGCTGGGGAAGCCTTGGGAGCCAGTGGCAGGAGACCCCCATGGTCTGATAAATTCTCCTGTTCAGGACCAATCAGGTCCCAATGGTGGTGGATCAAGGAGATCCAACCTGTGGCATATATTTGCAAAAACAAAGAAAGCAGTTTCTTCAAGATGAAGCATTGTTAATTCATTCCTCCAAGGTACAGACTACATAGAGCAAATGGGAAAAATCAGAAAAGCCTAACCAGTTTTTTTATTTACACCTTTGTATGTTCACCAATATTTATCCAATTCTAGATCTGGAAGGGAGAAAACAGATTGCCCACTCGATAGTTTCTACCTCTGTCAATCATATGTCAGGTTTTCATTGGGCAGCTTCTTCAAGATGACCTATCTCTGCATTCCTTTTCTAGAATCTTTGAGGATTTAGATGGTCATTCCTAACCAGTTTTTTTATTTACACCTTTGTATGTTCACCAATATTTATCCAATTCTAGATCTGGAAGGGAGAAAACAGATTGCCCACTCGATAGTTTCTACCTCTGTCAATCATATGTCAGGTTTTCATTGGGCAGCTTCTTCAAGATGACCTATCTCTGCATTCCTTTTCTAGAATCTTTGAGGATTTAGATGGTCATTGAAAGAGTAACTCATTCTAGGTTGGATGGAGCCAGACAGGTAGTGTATTCCCCAGTGATAACTCAGCCATTGTCTTCTCATGGGTTCTTATGTGTGTTATTTGACCTTTCCTGCTTGGTTCTTTGAACAACCCCTTTTGAGCTACCTGGCTAGTAAATAACCCATCATAATCAAACACACAGAAGCCTGTACAAATGTCCAGGCTGTGTATAGGTGTTAACCTACTGGGTCTTCTACTCTACTACACCAGAGAAAGAAATGTCATAGATGTATTCTGTCGTCTAGCAAATATAATGTTGTTGATAGTAAACCTTCACTGAAGACAAATGCTTGTCTGCTGCACAAGCATTAAAAAATACGTTCAACAAAAATAATCATCACATTCCATTCGTATAACAAGATGTAACATACTGTAAAAGGTGTAATAGGTGAATGATCTGAAGACAACAGCTACTTGGTGGAATACCATATATCTGAGCTTTCAACATTATCAGGGTACTGTTCTTGTATAGAATATCTTGCAGTTTATGTGCCTTGGTTATAATTTCAGTTTTATATTTTGTATTTTTACCCATGATGGTAGATTTACACTTTTCTTTTTTTCTGTTAGGATGCTTCAATTGCCCACAGATTCCACATCATGCGAGAAAAGCATCCAGAGAAGTTCAACAGTAGGTAAGAGCACAAATAACATTTGCATATAAATCAGTTGTTTTCAAATGGTTAAGATGCATGTTCTATGAGGAGATAAATTCTACATTTTCCTTTAAAATATTGAACATTACTACAAGACAGAATGTCACTGCATCTTATTTTAAATATCTGGTTCCAGATTATTCTGATTAAAATCAGTTTTATCTGGTGGCATCTCAGCTGAAGTGAGCAGCATTATAAATAAACTGTTCTCATGTGCAAAATGATTGACTCTTAAGATTAGCATGATAGAGATGATGCACTGTGGTATCTGAGGATCCCTGAGTTGACACTTTGCCATTAGGAACTGCAGAGCACTTATTAGACAGCTGCAGCTGGGGATCCTTATCTTTCATTCCTGCATACACACTGCTATGTTGACAGGGGGCCCTTCCATATATACTCTGTGAGGAAGGGCAACTGAATGTTGGTTTATAAATATATACTACTTATCATTAAGAAGCTTGGGAAATGTCTAAAATGTGCAAACTGAAACTTTGCCCACATCCATGTGTTCCTCTTTTAGTTTGATATGGACTGTTGTTCCAAAACTTTCCTGGAAATGTACAATGCGTTGTTATATATTGTAAATACGTCTTTACTCAATAGATGGCTTACCGAGTTGATAAAACCCATAACACAATGCTTGTTTGCGTCTCATATTTGAGTTATTTAACAGATCAACAATGATGGGGAACTGCAGCATTTCAGAAGTCTTAAGTAACATATAAAGACACAAAAGAGGAAAAGAAATCAGTAGAATGTATAGGAATACATACTGCACATATTAGTTTATATATGTACGAGAAGATTTACCTAGCCTCAGTTGGGTCCTTAACTCAATTAAGTTTTGTTTCTTGGAAAAGAAAAGAAAATGTATGTACTTTATCTGAATCTTTTGCTCTGGGGCTAGACTGGGGATGAGAGGTTCAGTATGCAGGATGCCTTAGGGAGAGAGAGGACTACCCCAGCCCCCTCTCACCACAGCAGCTTGGGGCCAGGTGAGAAGCACCTCTTCATGGCCACTGCAGCAGGCATAGCTGAGGGAGGGGTGCATGTCCAGTGGCTGGGGCAGGTCCAAGTTCGTCTGCCCCATACACACTCCCTAGCCAAATTGAAGAATGAAGCAAACTGCACTTTCTCCTTGCTCCCTGACTAAGGAGAACAGCCAGCAATTTTCCCATATGAATGAGGGAAGAGGGATGGAGTTGCAGCACCCCCAACATACATGCTCCCTAAAGGACACCTGGAGGTGGGAAGCTTGGGGCTGGGGCTGTCCCAGATGGGACATCTACAGCCAGCCCCTTTCGCCTGCCTGGTGATGCAGTTTGCTTTCTGTATGGTTTTATGCATCCCTGTCTGGGGGAGCTTAAGTCCCCCCAGCCCCTCACAATGAAGTCCTTGATAAGAGGAAGCTGCATACCAAATGTGGTGGTCCTAGTTCTTACCATTTTAAGAGGAGTTCTTGGACAAATGGGTGAATGTACAAATAGACTTCCTCACTCGCAGTGGATGAATATATTATCTCTCTGGGCCAAATAGTGGCATTTACCCACTTACCTGTATAGCGAGCTATGTGGAGCTGCTATACTTCCCTGGGAGACCCTGAAGCAATTATATCTTAAGTAAGCAAGTAATGGATAATAGGTACAGAGACTGCTATTTGTATAGCAGCATAATAGATCTGTTCTCCCTAGTGTTGCTGTTGTACTGTGTAGATCAGAACAGAATGGTATGAGTGAGGCCATTAACCACTGCAGTGTTCTTGCTCAACCACAGGAACAGCAGTTGTCAGTCACAAGCCATACAATGGGAGGCTTTTTACACACTGTGCCCCTCAACATCTGCGAGGAGATCTCATGATCTAGTGTTTGATTTATTATAATAAATTCTGCTATAGACACCCAGGTTAAAACTGCTCCTCTTCAGAAAACACAGATATTTTTTAATTCCCAAGAATTATATTATGAAAAGGACACACAGTGGTTCATAAAGACTTATTGCTGGAGTTATTGGACACTTATCTAATGCCAATATTCTAGTTTCTGCAGGTGAAGCTGGTTTATTAGTGTCCATTCTGAATATTTTCAGCAGTTGGAAATTTTAATTTATAAAAAGTCCATCTAATAATATGAGTTTCAGATCAGATTTCATGTCACAATAAATCATATGCCATTAATAATATCTCTTAGCAGGCTCACCTTGAAATTCATCTATATTTAAAAGATTCTGATGTTTCTAACATTATCTTAAGGAAATTAATTACAAAAATATATAGTTCCAATCTCTATACCTCTTGTTGCTGAGATACTGAAAGAACTTATATTTCCAAGGTTTAAAAGAGCCCTTATTCAGATAGATTTGTTTTTGACAAATATTATATAATCTAAGATATAACTGTTAAAGTTATAATTTGCTAGCATGTTTATAATAACAGAAGTTCTAATGACAATCTGGTCATTTTTAGATAGCCTGAGCTCTAATTATCATATTTTAAATGTAAGAGAGTTTCCTGAAGAATTTTGCTATAGGCTTATCATTTTTAAAATATTTCTTTTAGTTTGCATAAGAGGGAAAATAACAAACTCAGCTAATGTAATTTTTCATAAATGTATCTCAGATGCAGTTTGTATATGGTGACATTCCATGATGATAAACCTGATGTAAGGTATTATGTATGTGAAAACAAATCCCATTATAGAACTCCAGTGAGCCAGTGGCTATAAACTTTGTAATTTACTAGATGGTTGAATTTTCCAAAAGCATCTAAGTAATGTGGGAGCACAAATCCCAATAAGGTCAAAGGGGCATGTACTCCTAAGCCATGTAGGCTCTTGAAAATCTCACCCTGAATTTCTAAACTCTTATTCTGTCTCTGAAAAAGAATCCCTCTAAGGCTTGGAGTTAACTTCTTATGTTCTGATTTTTCAGAGAAGATGAGCACCCAGAACTCCCATTAAACTAATTGAGAGATTAAACGTTTCTGTAAATTGGACGTTTGCACTGCAGTTCTTCTTTCAGACTGTATTAACCTGATACACAACCAATATGGTATTCTTTGCTAAATAGAATTTAGAGTTGTTGGGATCCAGTTTCCCTGCCCTGAAACAGAACGAAGTAATTCTAGTACATATCTGACAAGTGTGGGGGGTTTTGTTTGTTTTTGCAACCTCCTCTAAAAACCTCTAATGATGAGAATTCCACTACCTCCTTTGGAAACAAATTTCAGAATAGCTGGAATAAGACGAGAGTATTACTTTAGGGATAAAAGTAAGTTTTTGTTGTTTTAAACAGTCAGAAGGAGTGTGAGATGGATTCTCCCCTTGTTCATGCACCATCAATAATTAACTAAGATTCACAAGGAAAGATAATTCTCCACTAATTTTAATACATTTATTCAAGTCCATTGAAACCAAAACAGGATATAGTTGCATCAGTGTAAATTAGGCTATGTTGCAAGTTCTGACCATGAGTGGAGAGATTTTTGATTTTACTTGTAAACTGAGCACATGTGCTAGGACAATGAAATCATGTGACCACT